TTTGATGCATCTTCATTTCCTCTTTCGAACGACGAAAACTGCAGCTCTCTACCTAGCTTCTATCAAAAGTTGCTCAGAAACTATCCACTAAATAGATATTCGTCCATCCATTCTGTATGATAGAAAAATAGGTCTTATCGAAATTTTACTATTATAATATTAGTTGACATATGATCAAATAGCATAGACAAATAGATCATTCTTTTTTCTTGAAGACTATATAGAGAGAAAGTTTCTTAAAGCTTTTTATAAGGAATTACAGTGTCATTCTCATTACTTTCTAACTGCCCTATGCAAATTAAGCTATTTTTTAATTATATAGACAGACACTTATATAACTCGACACCCATTTTTTAAGGGTTTTTTGAGGTATTGAACTTTCGATTCCTTTTTTCCCTAAAAGAGTAAGTATTCAAAAAAAAGGCACTGTACTGCACTGCATTCTGACATACTCTTTCAAACAAAAAAAATTTAAATACATCATACGGACCTGGGCTGAGAAATTTGGTTTGCTAAATGAGCTATTTTTGACCCTTGTCTAGTCAGTATCTCACGCAAACATCATGGTACAGGACTGAAAGTTTTACCATAGTTTTTTCACAATAGCCCCAATATATCCTGAAAATTTCATGCCATTTGCACGTACCTGAGCTGACATCGATTTTTGAGGAGACGGAGACCTTAAAAAAAAACAATGTCCAGGTTATCATTTCAGAAAAAACGATCCGCCTATGTAGCATATTTCGCCAAAATGTGTCTAAAAATAAATAGCAAAATATTCATAGTAAGTGTCTGATGGTCTAGAAATGTTTGATGCTCCTTTCTTCTTTACTTGAACATCTTATATGGATAAATTCAAAATATACTTTGACAATTCCAAAATAATGATGATTCCATTTAGAAGATAATTCCAGTGACTCTGATGATATATGCATTTTCTTGTTCCTTGAAAGTCATCTGTAAACTTAATGTACTCAAATAGATTAGTCAAAAACTTAGAACAAGAAAAATAATTAAATTTAAAATAATTTAGATTATGTTAAAAGAACTGATTACTAGAGTCAATTCTTAAAAAAAGAAATCATATTTGTTAGACGTCTAGTTATGTTCGTCAGTGAAAAAACAATCGAACATTGAATAACACTATGGCATTTTTATTTTCATGTTTGTACGATTTTCAAAGTTCTCTAGCCATAATCATTTGTATATAATTCACTTGGATTTATTTCTCGAAACCATTTATTTAAAATAGACTTATATTGGCAGATAAATCTAACAGTAATTGAAAAATTATAACTACGTAAATAGAGATTATCAACACAATACTCCTATTATTATTAAAAATCTTAATGAAATTCGATTAATATAAACATAAAAAAATAATTCATTGATAAGTTTTTTGTTTTGTTACACTTTTTCAATTGTTTTGTATTGTTTTTTTTTCTTTCTCTTTTTCTTCAGCATTAAAAAGCCAATAGATGACAAGATGTTCAGAGGCGATAAAAAATTGTCGATGAATAAATATGTCGTCTTGTTCGTCTGAGATGCACTTTTTCGTCAAATTCGTTTATTTTAACAGAAAAATATAAATAAACATACATGTTTTAGCTGCATATACAATCGACAGAAAAATAAAATATGTTATAGTTTTTATATGAAACAATCTATGATAACATTGATGTTTATTTTTTTCTTTTAGTGATAGACAAAATATAAAGTTATTGATTTTTCTCTCTTTATATAGAAAACATATTTTGTCAAAGAAAAATTTTATATTGAAAAAATTTATTTTTTTCTGTAATTGAAATCTCATTTTGTTCATAATGAACTTCTTAATTGGATATTTCAATTAAGAATTATTTAATTATATGTAAGTTGTAACATTTAACATTTAACATTTCAATGAAATGTTTTTATTGATTTCATTCTTACGATATGTCTTTGAATTTATTATTTCTTTTTTATAAAGATAATTATGTACCACTTTTCTTTTAGGAATAATTTATGATATTATTTGATTCTCGATTATTATTGTGTATTTGCTGGGAGTTAGACATGATAGTCTTTCTTTTGATAATTTTTCTGACGGAAAATATAATAAGATTATCTGGAAGAGTTGTAAAAACTTTTTTTTGACTTATGATTAGACATGCGAGAGCAGCAGATAAAACTTTGTTCGGAACAAGACTTACCACCAGAAGAAAATTTATCAGGACTTAAGTTCACATTGTCAGTATAAAATAGTCTATGATTTTAAACAAATTATATTATAAATCGTATGAATCAGAACATTATTTGAGAGAGATCACCCTAAAAAATGTTATTCATCGTCTAATTAAATCGAAACAGACGACTATTGAAGGATTAGTTGAGATATGATTCGAATAAATTCTAGAATAATTTTCTCTAGACGAAACCTACTAGAAAATAAGTTGTCGGGATCAGCACTATACCGGATTCATTATTATTAGGATCAATGGATATAAAAAGTTGTCGAGATCGAGATCAAAAAGAGTTGGTCTTGCACATATCTACTTATGATTGTTGCTCTAGCACTGGTGTCCTGGTAGTGTTGTTGACTTGGTAGAGAATTAAATTGGAAGCATTTGTTTCCTTTCGTCATATGAAGAAATAGTACTTGAACTGAGTTTCTATTCAAATGGTTTGTTCTAGAGATCGATTTAGTTTTCCCTTTTTGTTGGAACCGAATCGGAACTTTTTTGGTTTTCGTTCCATAAGAATCTTTCTTATCGATTGTTATGTGTCACGGATAAGGAAATATATCATGTTATGAAATAGAACAATGATAAAAGAGTCTTTGTCATCTTCATATCAAAAATCAAATTCTAAACTTTTTATAGATAAAATATATGGAGAAGTTTATTTTAAATTTCATATGTGCTTCATTTCACTATTTATTTAGTATGATTGATAAGAAACGAAAAAAATTCGCGTTTGATGAAATTTTAGAAATAATTTTGTTGAAAACAATGTAAAATGATCAACGGAACAACTAGACGATGATTCTTTTTGACTATTTGAATTGAATATAACAAAAAAGAAAATAATTTTATTTTCAGATAAAATGATAAATAAATTAGAAATATTACCAAATGAAATATTTATAAATATATTTTCTTATTTATCATGGGATGATATATTAATGTCATTATGGTCATTAAATGAACGTATTAATTCTATTATTTGTTCATTATTTTCAATAAATAAAAATGGTATTATATTTAATAAATCAGTTTTATCTTATAAAATATTTTCATCTATATTATTACCATTAATATTAAATTCATCATTTCTTTCTTCGAATATAAAATATATTTATTTTGATGGAATTAATTCAATTTCTTTTGATTTTATTTATCAAGAAATATTTTCTAATAATGATAAACAAAGAATTTGTTTTCCTAATCTTAAATCACTTTATATAACTCAATGTTTATTATCTCAATCATTAATTGAAATATTATCTTTACTTATTCAATATCAATTAAATCAACTTACATTAACATTTAATAAAGATGTCTACAAAATATCTGAATATGGAAGTGAACGTTCCTCAGCCGCAATTAATCGAAGTAATCAATAGATATTTTCTTAATAAGATCATGATTTATGTATTATATGTATAAAATTTTTTTCAGTGTAGAGATGTAGAAATGAAAATTATATATGGACAACATGGTCCTTCCTAGTATGAGTGGATGTGAAACCAATTCTTTTTTTTGACTAGAACTGGAACTTAAAAGAATTGATTCCATTGATTACTAATAACGATGTTTGTTCCTTGGACATCGGAAATGGACACTATTCATTCAGAAAAGATAATTTGAATAAAATATTGATCATTAGAGCTCTATTGAGAGAATAGATACATCAAATATTGAAGATAACGAATTTGTTGATATTATCAGACGATTGTCTTAATCATAAAATCGTCTGAACAAAGTAAAAAACTAATTAGTATTGGAATTCTTTCTCGTGCTACAGTATTATTGCTAAAAAATAAATTAGAATACATAATAACAGGTGGTTCGTATCGAATGATCAATTTTTGCATTTGATTTCTTTGACTTATTTGAATGTCTTGTTGAAAAGCAAATAATTATATAATAGCATAGAGCATACGACGATCTACACTTTGACATGAAAAATATTACTTCAAGTTTTTATGTTTATGTACAAAGTAGAGTGAACTCAAGAAACACGTTCCAACCCTTTGAAAAACATCAGCAAAATTCAATACACAGGTTATATATTTATAATTTGTGAATAAAATATCTATAATATTTTATTTCATTCAGTAATATATTTTAAGAATACCATTTGACATATAATCATTTATATTATATTAATATAATGTCTGATTACTGTTCATTATATATCATGAAAAAACCATCTCCAAGTTTTTTCCGTATCATTTCAATATATTATTTGAAATGTTTTCTCAATGTTTTGTTTATGACTCCAATCTTCTTCAGATCAGATCATAAAATTTTCCTGATTATCTATATGATTATATAGTCATACATTTAAGTTCTTTTTTTCTCTCTTATTATCGGTCAAACATGATAGACTTTTTTCCTTCTGTTTTAAGCTTCTTTCTTAAATCTTGTTTTACGTATCTTCCTTTCTTCATAATCTTTTGCTTTTTCCTTCTTATTATTGTCTTATGTAGTATAGTTGTTGGATTGCTAGAAAGATTGGTTTAATGATAGATAGAAATATATATACAGAAATAAAGCACAGGTGGAATTAAGATCTCAAAGACTTATTCTTCAACGCTCATCTTCAATATCTTTTGAGACCACATAGACAAGTTTTTACAACTTATTTATCATGCTTTCTAATGAGAAGCGATTGTTGAAACACGTAATCTATAAGTCAACAATCAACGCTCTCGATTGTTTTTTAGAGTGGGAGGGGGCAGATTTCGGCTGTTTATTTGACAGACACTATTCATAAACTTTCACAGACAATTCGTTAACGAAAAGCTTTTCAAAAATACTTAGGTCTGACCAAAAGGGTGTGGGTGCGCGTGAGGGTGTGGGTGTGTTTCTTTTCTTTTTACATCCACATCCAGACCCACACCCTTGCCAGACAGTAAAACAGATTTTCGATTTTTGGAGGATGCTAGCCCGCTCTATCCTCCACATCGAGACCCATGTCAACAATTGTTAAATAATAACTTTATGAAGCAATGAGATAATAACATGTCACATACTTGACTAAATTCATTGGAGTAGGATGATGTAAAAGGAATTTATAATATCTCGTGTTAAGATCTAGTAATGACAATTAATTGGTCATAATCTTAACATAAGAAAATATTATACATAAACTCATATCCATCAAAATATATTATTAAAAGAAAACGAAATACTATAGCTGTTTAATTGAAAAAAAAACGAATATGTTAACTATGTAGAGAAAACTATTGATAACTCTCATATAAGCGAAATAAATTTCATCTATCGTGAAAAGAAAGATACATGTCTAAAATAACTTTGGTTCATGTCAAAATGTAGAACACTATTCGTTCTATTTTATTAAATAATTTCTCTTGAACAAAATACTTGAGTAGAGTAACAGAATAAAATGCAAAGAACGGTGTGTCATTCTTTATGTTCTATCTATCAGTATGATTAAACTTTTTCTTCTCTTTTTGTTAAGCTATCTTGATAAGACTTTTCTTTTGAATAATCATCACTTGTTTGCTAAGATAATTGTCTTAGTTATCATTTATATAGTTTCTTGTGTATTTTGTGGAATTGACATATAGTTCCTAACAAAATAGCGAATTATAAGTTAAAGTAAAAGTTTTTCGGTTTTTTATCTTTTAATTAGAGACTTTAGCAATCGATGACAACCAGTACTAGAATTCTTTCTTCAGAATTCCTTAGGAATAGAAAAAATCGTTGCATAACATTAATGAATATGGCTTAGACTGTTTGAGACTATTGTAGAAATTTAACAAATCGCTCAATGTTTATAATAATAACAAGCAATAAAGTACATAAAAGAAAAACGGAGCGTACGTAAAAAACTATCTGTTTGAGATGCATATATAAAGAAGACAGATCCTTATTCTGATGATCGATTATCTTAGAGAATAAGCAATCTACGAGATATTTTTTTACTTTACGTATTTTCTATTATCATAATACGACTAAATAATAGATGTGAGTTTGATCTTCCTATTTTCAAAGAAACTGCTAATAAGCTTTAAATACTTTTGCTGATATAACTAAAGTTTTCGACTATGCATTAGATATGAACAAAAACAAGTTATTATTCTCAAAATGGTAACTAATGAAAGAATTATTGTGTCTTTGTTTTTTTTTTGTCGTTCAGATTATAGAAAGAAATGAATAGAATCGATGCAAGATATTAATCATCCACATGTAAATGAAGAAGGAACATAAATATTTGAAGTTCTTTTTTTTTCATTTAATAATAATTCGACTATACATGTTAAACGAGTATTTTCTTGAATTATTTTGTAAACAAACTATTTAATTTTAATCGATATAGACAAATTATAAGATTCATTTTATGACATATCCTATATTTAACTTGAAAGTTGATATTTATACTAGTAATAAAAGATATATAATTGTTGTAAATATTGTCTAGTTGAATGAATCAGAAAAAGAACAAATTTTAAGAAAATTTGTGTTTTGAAAATTTTGAAAGAATATAAATAAAGTTTATTTGAATAGAAAATATACAAAAGATTTTTGTTTAAAATTTGATGATAAATATTAATTTTGTTTTGTAATGATTATCATAGAAAAATTAATGAATATGTTTCAACAATTTTTATGTCAAATATTTTCTAATCAATGTCAATTAACTTATCTTGAACTTGATATTAATCAAGCATATTATAATATTTATCAATGTTTAAAATTACCTTCCCATTCTCGATTAAATACAAATACACATGAATTTCAATTTTATTGTATAACTTTACGTTGTTTAAAGATTCATCTTAAATATACATGTTTTCTCGAAGATCTTGTTGAACGTACACCCAATCTCGAACAATTATCCGTTCATATTCAACAATTACAACGTCATTCTGAACGTTCTGATTCCAATATTCAAGATTCTATACTACTAAATAAAAATTGGTTTAATAAAGTAAGATAAAATTAATATCTATTTTACTCATACATCATACCAGTTAAATCTTATGTCATACATGAATGTTAGTTCATATTGAAAGTTTTTGATCCAGCTAAAAAAAACGAGCTAATTATGATAGGAAAAAACAATATTGATGAAAGTCAGCGATGATGATGGTTGTCACAGAATCAATGAAGAATATTTCTATCACGTAATGTAGAAGTTTGCGAGATAGTCCCGAATCTCGAAAAATCCCATTTATTCTGTTCCTTAGGACATTCGATATTGTCCCAAAAATTTTTCGGAACGGTACATGCAGAATTCAGCAGTATTCCAAAAAAAACCGATGTCTCAAGTTTTCTAAATTCACATATCAGAACGCATCGTAACTTTGAGACTTTATTTCTAAAAAATATTTTAATATATTTAAACAAATGACATAGCAGAAAAAAACAAGTGTGAGGTACCTCGAAATCTATTCACTAACTATGGCCAGCTAACGGTCGTCTTCGCTTGCAAAGGTTCGAAGCCAAAAGTTTAGAAAACTAAGCATGTTATTTGAAAGTAGGGACCTGCGGAGTCAGGTTTTTTTATTCCGAAACCCGACTCCGGCTCCGAAAAATTTTTTCTTTACAACTCTGACTCCAACTCCGACCCCGGAAATTTTTATTTTTTGACTCCGATTCCAACTCCGAGAAACTCCGAATTTTTTTTATCAATAAAAGGAAATCTCAAATATGTTTTATTGTTTAATTTACAACATGCGGAAATCAATAATAAGGTTGCTACATTACTACCATGAAGTCTCTCTAAAGTGAGCACGATCGAGACTATTGAAAAATGTTCCTTATAATCAGATGTTCGCCTTCGGAAGGTCCATTTTCAGCAAAAATTGCCTTTCCGGACTCGTGAAAAACACTAATAATAACGAGGTTTTCACTGTAGAGAGGCGCTCACTACTAGAGGTTTTACTGTATTATTTTTTTATACTATTACTGGGTAACTGGTAATAATTTTATATACTTTATTGCTAGTAATAAACTAATAACAATATTGCTTCTGTGAGTTACCAGTTTTAATACTATACTACTTTATAACATTTTTACTTTCTTCCCTCTGTTACTTTCGCAGATTAGTTCTAATTACATATAATAATTAATAACCTTATATGCTATTACTTACTACCAGTAATAGTAATGTAGTCCTGAACGATAAAGGAACAAACGAGTGAAGGAATATCTAAGAATCTTTAATAGATTAATTTGAAATTTCTTGTACATTTGTGGTTCAGTGGAAATAAAAAACAATCACTGACAAGTTTTCGATATGTACTATGTTCAAGGAATCAAAAGTTGGTGATCAAGAGAATTGTAGTACTTCTAATGAAATTGCAATATATTTTCATTGATGACATTATGCTTTTACGTAGCCAGTCTTTTGAACGATACAGCCAAAAGATTATCAATGTGAGGTTTTTCCTCGAAACTCGTTCTTAATATATGTAGCAACTGTTATCTTTCTTTTTTTTGTTTGTTAAGCTGAAGAATAAAGATGCTCTTATTTGAAACAGCAAAAGTTATTCAAACATGGTCAGGACTTTGACTCCGAAAATTTTTTTCAGAAAACCCGACTCCGACTCCGACTCCGAAAAATTTCTTTTTGCTGACTCCGGCTCCGACTCCGACTCCGACGGAGTCGGAGTTGAAATCGGGTTTCGGAGTACTCCGCAGGTCTCTATTTGAAAGAGCATAGTTAATAGTTCATGAAACAGATATTGAAATCTACCCAACATTTCCAATGTTTAGTGACATTGATGGTGTTTGTTCATACGATAAAACTTTTAAAAAAAAGATATATCTGATCATTGTGGATTAGGTACCAATAGAAACTAGCTAAGCGAATATTCATTTATCGATTTGATACCAACCAACAGCTAACAGTTCATTCTGTCAAAATATGAACAAGAGAAAACAACTCGATGATATAGAAGTAAGATATTCTATTCCAAAGAAACTGTATATTTTTCGTGAAATCCCGTAACAAAAGTCGCTTATTTTGGTTTTTTCTTTCTCATATTGAGGACTGACTTTAAAGCATTTTATCAGTTGTATATATGTTTTGTAGAGCTTAAATGAACCCATGTTCATTAAACTTTGGCTTAGATTGTGTAAACTTCTTTAAAAAATACTCCGTTACGGAATTTTATTAACGGAAAATCATTTCACAAAAAAGAATGCGACGGTTTCACTACTTTTCATTTATTTGATTCATACTCAGCCGGTAATTGATTCCCAATCGATTCCTAAACGATTAAAAATCGATGAAAATCATACACCTTTTAATCAATTATTAATCGATTTAAAATCGATTAACATCAAAATTAATCAATTTGGAATGGAAAATTGAGTGTTTGATTGATTATAATTGATTGCCATTGATTTTAATCGATTTTTAATCAAAATTTAATCGATTATAATCTGATTATTTGCATAATTTTTTTACATGGGATAGTTGTATGTTTCTTCTTTCTTTCCTTTCTCCTTGCTATTTTTACTCATTTATATTCCATAATCTTCGACGCGATACACGATATATGTCTCCTGACTGCAATGTACTCCTATATATTGTTGGTTGCTCCAAAGACTATCATACAAAGGTGAACTATTAATGGATTTTCTTAAACATAGAAATATAATCTCTTTGAAAAAATAAAAAACATATTTAAATGTTAATTTTAAAAGTTTTGCTTTTCGCAAAAAAACCCGGGTGCTAAAAGATTAAATATATTCAAAATGTAAAAAAGAAATGTGATTAGCAGACAATACAATAAAAGATATTAGAGATGAACACGCACGAACTTTCTCAAATATCAGCATCCTTTCCGACCTGCCAGTACTTTGTCTAGTTTTGAAAAACATGGAATTTAACTTTGAATGAAAAAAATACGAAGTTTCTATATTAAATGCAAAGTAGCTCGAGAATCTTCATGAATTTCAATGAATTCTAGTGGAGTTGAATAATTGTCTAAAATATATCCAAGTTTATCAAACTTTATTGAGATCATAGATGAATGAAGTTTAAAGGATTTGTTTTCTAGATTGTTGTGTCATTCATTGAATGAACAATTTAAGAGATCAAACAGTATATTTTTCAACATAATGACTTGTTGATGTTCAAGTGTATCTAGAAAAAAAAAATAAAAGAATTATATTTGGTGACTAATGTTTAGCTTGATAGATTTTGAATTAGAATTAATTATGATTTCGATTTCTGAAATTGAACTTTTCATTTTATTGATTAATATCTTCAGATTATAATGAATTTTGATAGATTTCGAGGCCATCGAATCGAATCAATAGGAAAAAAAAGTGATATTTCACATAATTTCTAGTAAAATATGAAGTATTGTTTGAAAATTGAGTAAAGTGCAATTGAAGTACTATTGAAATACTTGTGAACTTGTGATTTTTTATTCTTTGATTTTAAAAAACTTCATTTTCTCTGTTGTCAACCATCATTGTCTAGATATTGTATTTTCATTTGTTTTAATAAAAGTGAAAAAGACATTTGTATTTTATATTTGAGTCTACTATAGTTTATAATTAAAATTCATTTCTAATAACAATTATTGATTTTTTTATATTTTACTTCAAAATGATTAGTCCATAAAAATATGCATTTTATATTTACACTAAAAGCGTTATATGTTTGTTTTAGTAATCTCACATTCTTTCTTTACAATAAAAGAGAAATAGTTAAATAAAAATTTAAAAAAAAAAGAAAATAGTCTGATAGTTCATTTGAACAATCAAATAATTGGTTTCGTCATAAGAAAGATTAAATAAAATGAACCATTTAGGATGATTTCTAAGCAAAAAAAAATTTGAGAATGATCTAAATGAAGTACTTTCAGTTTATTTTTTTTCCTTTATTATATTAATTATCACAGAAATTTCTCATTGATTATTTATAAAAAATAGATACCAAAATTAGAATGTTTTACTATGAAAAGTTTTGTTAATGATGATTCAGAATTTATTTATTTAAAATGGCTTCTTAACAATATTAATTATGTTAAAAAACTGGAAATTCATTTATATAAAAATGAAATATCGAAAACAGATCAAACAATATGGAAATCTATTATTGATGCAAATTTTATTCGTCAATATTGTTTACCTGATGAAATAATTAATTTAAAATATTTTTATTTTTATATTCGTTTAAAACATCAATTATTATTAAATAATATTGAAAAAATAATAAATTCTTTTAAAATTGATCCTTTTTTTATTTTACATCAATGGACAGATGTTAAATATTTTTATGATGAATATAGATCATATCATCATATTTTTTCATCTAATTTTAATAAATTTCAATTTTCTGATTTTTTAATGTAAAATATTTTATTTATAAAAGTTTTTTTTTTTTTTTTAATCTAAGTTTGTTTTTGTTTTTTATTTTAGGAATCATGCATCTATATATGATTGGTTAGGTAATAGACATATTGGACTACATTTGAATTTATCAATTCATTCATTTCTTGAACAATTTGATAAACAATGTCCTAGTATTACTTCTATTACAATTTATCCGAGTAAATATTCACTATTTTTGAATAGTTTTAGAAAATATAATCGAAAAGAAATGTTGACATGTAGAAATAAAAATTTAGAATCTAATAGATCTTGATAGACAACATAACAATGACGCATCGCTAGAGCCCATAGATTGATCCTAGATCTGATATAGGTCAAGTTTGAAAATTTTGAATTAGATGTATACTATCTGTTATAGATTGCGTGACAGATATAATTTTAAAGGTTAAATTTATTATTTATTGTATTTAAAATAGTAAAACAAAAATTTATGATTTTCTAGGTAAATTAAATAGATTTAGGAATATATTGATTTAATTTTCACTAATAAATCGAACAAGAGAAGATCAATTATATAAAAGAAATGTCCATCGTAGGTAGAAATCTTTCACTGATATTGTCATGATGATGATAATGATGATGATGCGATAGCATCGTTATGGACGTATTTGTTGTATATATAATATTGCTTTAAATCGATTTACTAAAGTTGTCTTCATTTCAACAAAAACATTTATTTCATTTGTGATATTTTAATCTTCGAAAGATTGTGTTAATAGTTGTTGTCAATGATTCAAGCAAAAGTTATAATCAGTAAAAGACTAAACAATGGATAAGATTCAATAAATATACTCTAGTTAATTTCATTTTTTTTTTTTTTTGTTGTGAATATTATTTTGCTTATAAATATAATCAAGAGTAAATATTTCTCACAAAAAGACATTAAAATCATTTATTTTAAAACAAATGAGCAAATCTGATAGTAAAAAGTGATTATTTTCAGATGAATTTTATTTATCAAATTCTTTGAAATGTAGAACTAAAGAGAATAGACTATTGTAATAGATTTAATGATTGTAGAGTTAAAATTAATGATAGAAGAACAATATTAGAATTATGAATATGTATTATAGATATTATTTTAGCTATTATAATAAACAAAAGTTCATCATTAAAATAATAAACTTGAATCGTCATATGTTTGATCATTTCTAAATAAATTTCATAATCATTAAAAATGTTTAAAGAAATCTTTCTTACAGTCTCTGTAATTTTTTCTAATTAATATAAATATCAATTGTTAAGACTTAAAAAAAAATTACTTATGAGGAAACTCTACTAACTGATTAAAAGCTTTTAGACTCATATTCTGATTCTGGTCATAAGTAAGACTTGGTAGAATTAAAAGAACTTCGAAATCATTTACTCCCAGAAACGTATTTGGTTAAGATATGAATGTTTCAAGTTTAGGACTAGAAGCATACATAAACTGCTTGTTATTCTTGAATTATAATACTGTAAAATTTCAAAAGAAAAATTTCTTTTCAAAATACTCATAGCTAAGACATCAAGTTATTATAAAAAAATCATTTTGTTGTGTTTGTCTGATGAACTAAGTGCTATAGAAAAAAAAAAGCATAAAATATAAATACTTTGATACAATAGAATTGTTTCAGATATATCCTTCAAAGACTGTCATATGCATTCCTCAATTATATCTATCTGATGTTTCGTTTGCATGTCTTCTCATTCATGATTTAATGTTTCATTTTTCATTTAATTGATGTAATTTTTTTTGTTTCATTCGGTTTTGCAACTTACGTCAGAAGGAGTATAAACAAAAGAATAAAGAGAATATTCTAGAGAAATATTACAATGTTGTAATTCAAGTATTAGAAGTAGTTTATCTACGCTTTTGGACTTAAACTTTGGACATTCATAACTTAACTAAAGAGACTTATGGAAACAAATTCTTTTGTAGATCTTCTAGTCCTACCAAATCCTACTTATGACCAGACTATGAGCCCAAAAGCTTTTAATCAGTTAGTGGAGTTTCCTGGGAAAGTGGTAAAATATCGAATGAAAAATATCGAAGATTACGACGTCGAAAGTAAAGATTTCGAAGCGTATGAGTAAAGGGTGGAGATGTGCGTGCGGTTATAGCCTTGGCGGTGACTACGGCCTTGACTACGACTGAAAAGCAGGCCCATATCCTCACCCGTCGTCACACCCTACAAAATTGCAACTACATTAGACCTACTTAAACCAATATGGGAACCCACAAACTGCTACAAATAATACCTGAAATGCCATAGATAACACCTGAGATGCGTCTGACATGCGACAGATAAGACTTGAAATACTGCAAATAACACTCGCAATGCTACAAATACCGCCTGAGATGCTCCAGACAGCATCTGAGATGCTATAGATAACACCTGAAATCCCACAGACAATATCGGAGATGCCACATATAACATCTAAAATGCTATGGACTATGCTAAGGTGTTATAGACAGCAGCTGAAATGTTAACAGTAGTATTTCTAGGCAGCCTCTAAAAGTTATAGGTAGCATGTTCAAATAGTTCTGCAAAACTTACATTGACTACGTGTATTAGAATAAAAAAATAATTCAAACTTAATGCTTTCACTTTGACATTAATTAATTCTAATGGCAATAATACTGAAGCATTCGTGTTACTGGTTAATGACAAGACAAAAGCATAAGCCTTAGTAATAAATAATGCTAATGATAATTCTAATGCAATATTTCTATGTTCATTCCGCACCAACACTTACACTATGTTCACAGCTGCATCAAACTTGCGCCTACATCACGTCCACATCTACACCACATTCACATCACACCTCCGTATGACAATATTTAGACGTCAGTGCTTTTAAATTTTGTTCGTCATTTTTGTTTCGACGTTTTTTTTTCCGATAATATGCTTTTCGACATTCTTGCTTTCGATATTTTCACTTTTGACATTTTTTTTCGACAATCTATTTTTTGACATTTCATCTTTTGACGTTTTCTCATTGAACATTTTACCATCAAACTGAGTTTCCTTGTTAGTACTTTTATTTTTTTCTGTAAAGATCTTATTTTGAATAATTAATAAAATAATGTTGAGATAAAATGTCTCTGACTGTTGAATATAAGATGATAATCTAATTTAATTTAATTTAAAGGATTTTATATTTGAATTCATACTTGAATTGTATCTATATGCTGTGAGTATCTAATTGATTGACAGAATTATAGTAAGTATCAATATTCAACTTGTATTGAATTGAATCATAAAATATTGACCAAAGTCAAATTTAGCATAAGACCAAAACTAATTTTAGATCAGAGAATTATTATTTTATTCTTTTCAATTTCAAGAACGAACGTATCAATTTCTGAACAAAAACAAAAAAACGGAAACATTTATAAACTGTGAAAAAATTTGCTTTATTTGATTAACAAGAATCTTACAGCTAAAGTCTAATAAGCATTTTGATTGAATAAATTGTAAGAAATTTCTATCGATATTAAAAATTTTTATATTACACATCTGTATGTTCAATGACAGAAAAAGCATAAAATCAATAAATTTTTTTTTAACTCAATTTTTATTATGTTTTCAATTGAGTTTAATCGAAAAAAAGTCAAATATTATTTGTTCAAATATCAAAGATTAAGTTTTTTTGTTTTTGTTTTTTACTTTCATAGAACATTATATTGATGAATCAATAATGGAGACATTATTAACAATAATATTCGAAATGAAACAACGAAATTTAAATAATAATCAATTTCGATATATTACAAAACTTCGATTTGGAAACAATTATAGTCGTATAATTCGTATGTATCAATTTTTCTTTTCTAGATTTCTGATCATTTGAGTTATATGAATTTGATAGTATTTGATAATTGAAATAGACAATACACTTAAGTTTCTTTATTATTAGCATCATCAGGTCACATTCAATATTATTCATGTTAACAGAGTTAATGTATGTTTCTTGTTACATATAATAGTTGAATTACATATAGAATATATATTTACTTGTAATGCATAAGAATTAAGTGAAAGAGTAAAACTCCAAAAAAGAACAACAATGTATTTTTTATTCAGATTAGAAAAGTTATAATAACAAGAGATATAGCAAAGAAGTGTTTATTATTCAGAATAGAAAGATGCATTTATACGAAAAAAAAAAGAAGTGTATCCATTCCATTGAAATGTTCATGATCTTAGAAAGTATTCAACTACTATAAAAAGACACGTTATTCTAGATGAAAAAAATAAATATAATTTTTTTTTTCCGAAAATCTAATTGAATATCTCTTTAAAGCAAAATTATTTCATTCGAAAAGGTTTAAATGATTGTTTAAATCTTGAAATATATTTAAATCATGATTTTTTTTTTCAATTTAAAACAAAAGTCTTTTAGAGAACAGATCATTTTTTGTCAAACACTTTAAAATAAGTATTAAAGTATATAGGATAGAAAAGTAACATATATATCTCGTTTCTGTCTTCTATAGACTATGATAGATAACTTAGAGAAGATCATTCTTCGTGTTATGAACTTTAACAAACATTATTGATATACAGTCAAAGATCCTATATCAATAGATTATTTCTAAAATAACTGAACTACTAATTTGTTATATTTTTGAAGAATAAAATAAATGAATTAGAAAGTAATATGTTCCATAATAGATAGAAAAAAAATTCAATCTTCCTGCAATTAGAAACAACAACATGTATCATATAGATATGCATGAATAAAACACTAGAAAGTTATGAGATGTTCTTTCTAGTTTTTATTCCAAAGAACGAGAAATGCATAATATTGAAGATAAAAAAGAGAAGCAAACATGTATACAAGTATCTGTCTAATGAAATAATGTTAGAAATCGCAATATAAGATATGTTCTTAAATCTTGAGAAAGGAACATTCAACAATGATAATGATGATACTCACATTCTATATTAATGATCAAAGAATTTATTCATTGTAAAGTATGAATAGTGAATATGAAATGATAAATATAATTATTCTTACTTTCATCTTAGAAATTATAATAGATATAAAGACTATAAGAAAAATAAGTTTATATTTATAGAATTCAATTATATATCATTATAATAACATAGTAGATTTTGATTTTATGAATATATCTATTAAAGTCTTTGAAGGCAAAGAAAAAATGATGCTACTAAGATATATATATATAACAATTTATAGGAGATGAGAGAACGGAAAATTAAAAACAAAAAACAAAAATTAGATGACATAATTCATTATATATTCCAATACTCTTTTTGAAATGATATATTATAAAAAAAACTATGCCATTGTCAAATTATATTAAGAAGGTATGAGTGTAAATGCAAGAAAGATTTACATTTACTCACATTCGTAATATCATTGAAATATAGATGAAGACTTTTTTTTTATTTTCTAATTATAAAACTATCAATTTTTGTCTATATTTTTGTTGAAAATTAATTTATATTCATTTATTTTTCTAGAGCCTTTCGGTAAATTAACAGATCAAGATAAAATACATGCAAAAATATATTCTTATATTATTTCAATGACGGTTCAACTCAAATATCTTTTGATTGAAAGATTGGAATGGTTTTTATATATAATTCAATATGTAAATATTGATTTAAAACTATGTATTGTAATTAATTAATCTGATAAGAAAATCTTATTGAAAACTTTTCTTATTATATCTTTTAGAATTTCTCAATCATCATATGAATATGCAAAAAAAAAAAACTTGTAGTTTAAGAGATTCTCATATATTAAATTTTATTAGAAGATTTTCTTAGATAAGAATATTGATAATATAATTAGAAATAGATTCATTGAATTCTAATTAAATTATTACTTAGATTTTCTTTTTTATAATGTATATTTTCTTTATTTAAAAAGAAATTAGAATAATAAATTACTAAATTGATAGGGGATAGAAATTTTTCTCGCCATATATATATAGTTAGAACACGAAAACACACAATACTGTGTTTTATACGAAATGAAAACTCGTCAATAATGGAATACAGGAATATAAATTATCATTGATATGAATAGAATGTATTATTTAATTAGAAATATTTTCAGACCATTCATTATTTGATTTCTTGTCGAATAATATCGACATATATCAAATCAAAACTGTTACTCAATGTTTGAGACAAATGGTTTACATTCGAGATCAAATTTGAGTAATTCTCCATATTGTTGATTTGTTTTTTTTTAGTATGCTTGCATATCTTCAATTTTAGAATCATTTATTCCTTTGTTTATAGATCAACTATATTCTTGAGTCTGAAATTCTTCTTTTTAACTTATTTCTATTTGTTTTTATTAATTAACTGAAAATAATTTTAATTAAGACTCAATCCGAATGTTCGAGTTCGATATATATTTATCGAATACTCAATCAGAAAAACATGATATTCTCACAAAACTTATTCGTTGTTGTAGAACTTTTTTAATTGATCATTTTTATAAAAGAAAAGAACAAATTAATAGCGACAGTAAGATCTAAATATTCATACAAATCTTAACTATATCATTCAAAGTAGTTTGAGATTTTCATCTTAATATTGTTGTATATTGTTCAAACTTAAAAAACTATTTTTTATCTTAGTAATTAACAAAAAAGATTTTAAAATGTAAAATGGATGAATAAGTTTTTGTGATAATATCTCATATTTTTCTAGTTGATTATTCAGAAATTAATCAATAATTCTTATCCTAATATTTTTAAATATTTCATAATTAAATAATAGATGCTTATCTTATTAATGATTCTTTTATATTCTTAGAGTCTGTTTTTGACGAGATTGCATTCATTTTAAAAATTCATTGTTATATGTGTTAGGATTTGAGTAACATTAATTTAGAAAAATCTTATTTCTTAAATGTGTATTAGATAATAAGAAAATAGATTTGTATAGTTTTATATGATTAAATGAAATAATTTTCTCGTATCATTTTTAGGCTTTTGATGATTTACGAATGAATGCATTAAGTACTGTTCGTCATATTGAATTCGGTATATCAAGTTGTCATTTTGGTAACAATGAATCAATTCATATTGGTAAACATCTTGTACCACTTCTTAGTACTTTTATGCCTCATGTACAAACGTTGCGTCTATGGAGACCAGATGATTTTCCTTGGACATCGAGTAAGATTAATTTTATTTCTCAATATCGTTTGAGATTTGATAAAATTTTCTTTTTTAAATTAATCAAGACGTTTTTTTCCTGTTGAATATTAAGGCCATCCTATCTCTCCTTAAAAAAAAAGTCACTTTTCGTGAGAATGATCGAAATTAAGATAAATACATAGGAAGATAATCCGTGATTTCATCTTTCATAAACGACAAAAATTTTTACTCGACATCTCGTTTTTTCCAAAAATTTTTGAAGATTTCTATCGACCTCTATTCGAAAAATAAGCTCTTTTTTGAAAAATAAGCTCTTTTTTGAAAAAAAAGACAAAATCTTTTTCATTTTTCTTCCGTTTATAGTTTCTTGAGCGTGCAAATCAAATTTCTCTGTCGATTCTCATTCAATGTATTTAGTTTTTTTTTTTGATTTCAATTAGCATGTCAAGACACAGTGCAGTACAGAGAGTTTTTTTTTTAAATTAAGCTATTTTTCAGTTATATATACAGACACTTATAATAACTCGACATTCATTTTTTAAGGGTTTTTTGAGTCATTGTTGAACTTTCGATCCCTTTTTTTTCCTTAAAAAGAAAGTATTAAAAAAGAAAGGCTTTTGTACTGCACTGAATTCTGACATGCTCTTTCAAACAAAAACAAAAAAATCTAAATACATCACACGGACCTGGACTGAGAAATTTGGATTACTAAATAACCTATTTTTGACCTTTGTTTGATCAATATCTTCTTCAAACGTCATGATATCGGACTGAAAATTTTACTATAGGTTATCCACAACAGTTTCAACATATCTTGAAAATTTTATACCATTTGAACGTTCTTAGGGTGAGATCAATTTTTGCGGGGAAGGGCCTTAATTGCAAATGAGTTCGATTTAATTTAATTTTTATTTTAGTAAAAATTTATCAATCTATTCTATAATGCGCTGAAATATATGAGACTTTCTTTATTTTAACCTGTAAAAGCCAAATGTTTCTTCCAACAGACATTATGATAATTGATATAACAAATGTAATCAAATATCATATTCAAAAATGAATAGTTTTTCAAGTTAAGGACTTATAATCGAGTATAGATTGAAAAACAAAACAGTTTTAGCTGACTTCTAAATAAGATAATTAATTAATGAAAAATAAACAAATTTTGTAGATGTAAGTTTTTGTTTTTAATGACTTCGTTTGTTCATAAACAAAACGTGCAATTTGGGTTTTATGATCGATATTGATGAGTATTACATCTATCTTTCTTATGAAATCAGGCTGAAGAATTCATATGTGTTCTATTGTCACGATATGACATCCGAAAAAAGTGTTGAAGACTCTAAAATTTTCAGTCAAAACGGATGCTTGCTTCTCAAGATATGGTAGTTTGAAAAAAAAGTTGATTTTGTAAAATTTTATTGCTTATTTTTCTTTTTTTTCTATTTAATATCTCGATAAGTAGTGTACCGCGTGATCATGAATAATGAGAGGCCTACTTCGTGATTATGATCGTGATCATTATTGAGAATCCATTTTTGTTCGTGATCGTGATAAAAAATATCAATCACATAGTACGCTTTTACTTAAATAGAAAGAAGCTTTTCGAGGATAACCAGATACTAGAAGTATAATCAAGAAAGTATCTAAGCATTTTCTTTATAGAGTTTTATTCTTCTTAGACTTTGAATGAATAATAAATGGCTTAGAACCAGGATATTACTGCAGTATAGGAACACCATCATTGTCACAATATACTCATTATGTATTGCATCAATAGATTTTTATTCCTGTTCCGCATACATTCAACAATGTAGATATTCTTATTTTGTAGTTGTACCAACATTTCTATCTATCGAATAACTTTAAAATTATCCACTTCATTAGATCAAGTAGATGATTGTATTTAATCCGATGAAATAATAGAAAGAAAGACTACAGAATTTTTCTAAACAAGAAAAAATCTAGTCAAATCTTAATTGAGTTATATCATGAGACAACTAAAAATACTTACCTGTATCATACAATATACGTGAGAGAGTCAAAATTTCGTCTTAAATTTATATTAACTATTTGATTAGAAAATAATTGAAATCTTAGTTAAACAATTATGATAATTTGTTAACACATTTAAGAATATTTGAATAAATAGAATTATTTAATTTTTTGAATGATTTTTAAATTAAAAATAAATTGAGATATTTCTGATTATTTATACTTTCTTAATCACATAAAAAGAAAAATATATTCACTTAAGAAACTTTTCTTTAATATTTTTTATTTTAAGTTCGACCGAATTTTCGACCAATACAATATGGATTTTCTATTCGACAATGGCAAAGATATTTAAGAACATTGGAATCAATTAGTATGTAAATGATATTGACTCATCATGAAAAATAAAACTTTGTTTTGTTTTGTTTTGTTTTTATTATTTAGCTGAACATGTAAATGTTTTTGAATGTGATCTTTGTCAATTAGTTGAACAATTAAAACAACTTGTCTATTTGGATATTTATGGTAGTACTGCTTCAGAAAAAGTTGAACCTTATCGTTTAATGGTTCAAAATCGTTTTCCAAATAGTCGAATTGATATTCAAATATCAAGATTTCGTCTTTGGATGTAATTATTATTTATAATATGAGATTGTTATACATTAAAAATAACTAAATCATGTTTTTCTGTTTCTTTAATAGTTAATTCTATAAAATTTTTCTTGTTATTCTGTGTATTTTTTCATTTTTCTATTTTGAAAAACAAATAAAATAAAATTCATATGCGTTTGTAACAAGGCCTTTGTTTTCAACCACTATTACATATATAAATAGAATCTTTAAACAATAATCATATTAATAAGAGAAATATCATCAATTATATAATTAAAAAATACTATTATTTATTGTCTCAATACATTTTGTCGTTGAATCATGTTAAATATATTCAATAAAAACAAACATCAATCGAAGATATAAAAAAAAAAAATTTTTAATAACTTCAATAAAATATTTCAATCAAACGGTGGCATGTGGTTTAAATTGAAATGATTAGAAAAAAGTTTATTCAATAATGATAGTAGCATATTAATAGAAAAGATCTCAGCATGTTTTATTACATGGAATCGCTCAGAGATAACTTTTCAATTTCAACTTCAAAGTATCAAGAACATAAACTATTTGTTACCTAATTAGAAAATTGTTTTACACAAAGACTCAGTTTCCCGTCGAGATCATGACAATTATTCTGAAGAGGGGAAGGTCCCCAAGTGTTCAAGCCGTTTAGACCCCATCTTTTGGCTATAAGTAGATCTCAATGAGATATGAAAGACCTGAAAAGGATTCATTCTCTCGTGTCTTTATTCCTAAGATATTGAGTTTTCAAGATATTGTATGAAGAAACAAGAATAGAACGATCGATGACTTTTTTGTGAGAAAAGTAAAACATCAATGGCTGAAGCTTTTTTCCAATATTATGCGCTCTTTGTCCGATCTGTTTTGATTTGAGAGCTGAATATAATCCTATCTATAACGATTCTATTCATTATTCATGAGTTCAAATAGTACACAAAATTTTCATTTTGTTTTTGATATCGTTTTAAAGCACAATGATCTTTCTATAGAAAATTAATGAAAGTGATAGTTCAAGAAAAAATGAGTAAAACAGTAATTTACGACACCAGCTGCAGCCGATGAAAGGCGCCATATCACAGGACGGAGCAACACACATCACATCATCCAGTGAGAAACACACTTCGCCTACTGTTTTGAAATGTCCTGGATGGGTATCCGTATAACCGCTAGCGTACCAACTGTATTGAATCATCCGATGAAAAATCTCGGATGACAATTGATTGTCATTCAGAGACGTGAGACGGATGATATTATTTCACACGCTCATATTGATATCAAGTTCATCGAGCATCACACGATCATAGACTCGACGAGGAATCATTTTCATTTGTCGATTAAAAACACATCCAAAGTTTGAATTAGACCAATGGTTTTACTCGGTATGTCAAGTCTTGTGCATCCCGAGATGTGATCGTATAGTCCTTTTCCATACGTTTGTCCCCTCCTTTCCCCCCAACAATCCGAGATGAGTAGAAACTTTGTTCCGTGCCCAAGCAATGGAAGAAGAATGTGATCACGCCAATACTCAACTAAGGACGTCGTAATTTTTCCGGAGCTGCTGCAGGTGACGATTACATTTGAAGCCTTGAATAAATGCGATCGAATGTCCTCACTCATACGTCCCTTGGTCTCCTTCAAACAGAGGTAGAGTGATGAGAGAAGATGGCCATCGAACGTGATGGTAGGTTGCACAGCAAGGGGGAAAAAAGCTGATTTTTTTTATTTAAATCAGAAAAAAAATCAAAAAAATCGAAAAAATCAAAAACATCAGAAAAATCAAAGAAAAATGGTTCAAAATCAAGAGTTTTCAATCTCTGTTTTTCAAAATACTTATTATTTGACTACATAATACAACTACCTAAAAGAATTGAATCAGACGAGGCCTCTAGAATCTCAAAAATCATAACCTAATTCGCTTCGAATTAGAACTAACTTTGAACTTTGATTATTTTCGATAAGTTTATCGTACATTTTGTCACGTCTGAATTTAAGACGCCTTGGTCGCCTTCGGAACGAAGAAAATGTTTTTGTCGCCATTCCATTAGAAATCCATAAAATTCGATAGGGTTAAGTGTATCGATTTCCCCTTTAATTTTTTTTTGAGTTACTTAGATAATCAGAAAGATCTGAAGCAATTTGTGAAGTTGTTGAAAAACAGCTTTTTAGTTGGAAGCCCATTTAAAGGCGTCGTGAATTGCTCTACAAAAGGCCCATATAATGCAGAATGTTTCTCTTCATTAGGACCTACAAGAATATCTCAGACATCAAAGGCTTTTTCTTTCGATAAATGGCAAATATCGCCCCACTTGGGTTGTATTATATCTAAAAATTCGTTTTTCGATTATTATGAGATTAGGATTTTTTTTCGAATGTTCTTTTTCTATGGCTACAATGCGGTCTGCACTTTTTTGGTACTATTTTTAACTTTAAATTCGATATTTAGTATAGAATTCTTGCCTTAACCAAGATATGCGATTGTTAAGTTATAACTTTTCCGAATAATACTCGATGATTTTTAAGTAGAGACAATCCCATTTGATTTCAAAAGAGGGGTATTTCAAAGCAACGGTCAAAATTCAATCGATAAGTGTATTTAAATAGTTTGTGCGACTTCTGGTCCCGCTTGATGTTCACCCATGGACTCCTTCAATAAATAAAGAGAAATGGATTTTATGAAGGCCCTGTCAGAAAACCGAGTTTTGATGAAAAGGTAATGTCGGATAAGTATATGGACATGTTACCTGGAGTGCCGGATATGACAAATGATAAAAGAGAATTTTAATTCAGGAAAGTTTTCGGGAGTTTTATGAGTAACCTTTGGAACCATTTGGACAAGTAATGATGTCTCTAGTAGTCAGTACATTTTTTTTCTTCCATTTAGATTGTGGTAACCAAATGCTTTTATAAAGGTGATATAGATCTTGCGCAGCTTGAGGATATACTCTTGATATCCTCCGTAATTTAGCAGTGTTAATACAAACATGAGTGCGCCTAATGAGAAAATTATAAACACCTGATGGTATATGGGAGCTCAGGATGCCAATTTAAAACATGTTCTTTATTTAAATTAAATGGAGATAATTTATACCTGAAGATAGTCGAATATTAGCCGAAAAAGTATAAAGCTAGCAATCATATACCTTGATTTGAGCCAAAGTCCTTAACTAGATATTTAATTCTAAGTAGAAAATGACATTAATAGAGCTGCAGATTGAATGGTATATTTCGTAAAAATATGGAGCTGACATAATCGTAGAAACTTTAACTTCATAATAATCCAAAAATATTTTATTAGGCATACGAGAATTCGACCGGGGGAGGGGAGAAGTATTTGACATTTATCGATAGACAAAGCATCAAATGTTTAGGATATTGTAGTAAATTGTGATGAGAAAAAACATTCTGCTTAATCCGAACATATTGTCAACAAATCTAGTTCTGCTTTTAATAATCTATGTAGCAGAGACCTAAGCAGTCCAGTTTTCACAGACTTTGACTGCTCTAGAGAGCGTATGAACCTCTTTCGGTTGCCTGTGCCTGCTGTTTGTTGTCATCAATCTGGCCTGGCTATGTATTAAGATATTTCCACTGTATTTTTCATGTAAATATTAGGAGAAGACTTCAATAGAAGTAGAGAACAGAAATAGGATCAGTTCAGGCTTTTCAAAACTTAAACCTAACTGGACTGAATTCTTTTGTGAAACACAATCTAAAAGGAGTGTTGAAGTGTATAGGGTAGAAATTTGCACGTAGGTGAAGTTAGCCTCATATTCGAGTAATTCCAGCCGATATTCGTTCAGCAAGGTCCAGTAACTGTTCCAAAGAGTTCCAGAGTAGAATTTGACAAGCTCTATCGAATGGTAACCTTGGAGTTTCTATATTACATACCATTCGTGAAAGAAAGCCAAAATACTGATTTTTCACCATAGGGAAATTATGACATTATTAGTAATTACAGCCGATATTCGTTCAGGAAAGTCCTATAACTGTTCCAAAGAGTTCCAAAGTAGAACTTGATGAGCTCTATCGGTTGGTAATCTTGGATTTTCCATAGCTCAAACTATGTCTCCAAAAATTCCAGAGGACCGATTCAACCCTGTATACATATTGTAAAATTAGCAAAGATTCGTTCAGAGGCATGTGCTAGATGTTCAGCTTGGATTTCAAGCACAACTCAATGAGCTCTATCCACAGTTACAGAATCTTCCTGAACGAATATGGGCTGATTTTACTAACCATATGACAGGAGTCATATGGTAGCAAATGAGTATTTTAGGAGTTTTTCATGAATGGTATGATATATGGAAAATCCAAGATTACCAACCGATAGAGCTCATCAAGTTCTACTTTGGAACTCTTTGAAACAGTTACAGGACTTACCTGAACGAATATCGGCTGGAATTACTAATCATGTCATAATTTCCCTATGGTGAAAAATCAGTATTTCGGCTTTCTTTCACGAATGGTATGAGATATAGAAAATCCAAGGCTATCAATCGACAGAACTCATCAAATTCTACTTTGGAACCTTCTGGAACGGTTACAGGACTTTCCTGAACGAATATCGGCTGGAATTACTAATCATGTCATAATTTCCCT